GTCTTAGAAGATGTAAAAGAAGAGATGCTGAGAACAACCTTTAATATGTTCCAGCCGATCCAAGTGACTTATACTGACTCCATTGGAGTAGACGAAGAAGGCAAAAGTGACAAATTTACTGAAGGACTGGGCGTTGATACAGGAGGGCCTACGAGAGAATTATTTACACTGGGCTTGAAACAAATTCAGGAGTCTCCGATGTTCAGTGGCATGTCTGGGAAAAATTTAGGATACAGCACAAGCAAGTACTACGCAGTCAATGCAGAAAATGACTACACTGTTAGAAATAAAAGGGGTCGGAGTGATTTGGAGTGAACCGGAGTGAAAGACTTCGGAACTTCAAAATTACCAAATGAAGAAAAATGACATTTGGTCGAGTGAATTCTGCAGATGTTAGTCTGAAATGGACTTATCATCAAAATTTCACTCTTATTTTAGCATAATCTTGAACTATTTTAATACACAAGCAGGACTTTTGTTGACATGACGATAAAAATCACCCTTTGGACGAGTGATTGTCAAAGTAACCTACGTTTGACTTAATTCTGTCCATTGATTGGTAAATGTTTCTCAACTTAACACGTAGAAGAGAAAAACAACTATATAATTCCTGGATTATCATACCCGACTTCTGGAAATTCACCGTTAACTACGAAGAGTTTTCATACTTCCCAGAGAGTTATTTCTTTGGCATAATTAACTTAATTAATTAACTTAATTTAACTTAATTAATCGGATAATTAACTTAAAATGTTGCAAATTCCACTCCATTCTGAGACTATAAATTGTAAGGCATTCAGCCGCTGTTGTAAGACTACGATAAGGGATAAGATGAAATGAGACAGAATAATAACTCCCATCGTGCGGTGAAAAAGGGACACTTTTGCCGAGCTTGGAGTGAATATTCTGGCAGCGAGAAGAAAGAGCCCGCGGGTGAGAGACTTTTCACCCTTTTCACTCTCAGCTGATCGCGAATGAGATTTTCGCGCCAAATTTCGTGACCGTTACGATCTTAGTCCATCGCTGATCTTCTCGCGAGTCGCACGCGTAAATGAATTCAATGTGTGTAATTTTCAATTCAATTTGTGCCCTGTGATGTTATTATTCAGTGTAGGTGCTGTAAATCGTTATGTTCGGCAACATTTTTGATGACGGAAATACTGGACCAGTTCCTCCAGTAAACCAACAACAGGTTCAGTACCGACCCTTCTTTTTGAGTCCCATTTTAATTTCAGCGAAGAGGATTCCTCTGAATATTTAGTTACCAAGCACGCTTTGTTTTAGAAATTATGACAGTGAAAAAGCAGCGAGAAAGCAATTAACATTATCTCAAACTTAAACTATCAGTTTTTTGTGTAATTAAAGAAGCAAATAAGAATTGCCACAAAACTTGTAATTTTTCAATGTTTTTACTGCTAGCTTTTCAGTCAGGCTATATTCAATTTTGCTGTAATCTTGTGTTGTTTCATTTAAGCAATTCTTAAACGCGTATTCCGTGTATTATTATTTCCACTTCTTAACATTATTTTTTAATTAAATTAAGGTTTATTTTCATTTAAATACATTGTTTTCTTGTTTACTTCTAAATGTTTTGGTATTTTTTATATAGACTGACTATACCTACTTCTGTCGACTTAGCGACGCAAAACAGAATTCCAGAAATTTTAAAAAAGTGATTACTTATACCAAAGTTGAGGTGAGGAAACGAGCCTTCCCTTATTCGTCCCTGTGCTCTCTAGAAGTAAATAATTTAACTTTCACCAATGTTTTTAGGAAGCTCGACGTAGTGCCGCAAAACATTGATATTTTTGCGAAACAACCTAGATACAGATTTGTTAGATAAGTAAAAATTTTCATTCATTCATTCTACACCGAAGTAGCGAAAAGAAATCAGTAATGAAGTTCCCATGCATTTAAAGAAGTTCACAGTTCCATTCTAGTGACGCGTTCTTCATCCAGTTTACGGACGTTCCTCGATTGTGACAATTCAAAATTTCCTTACAGGTTTATCCATTGAAATCAACTCTATCCTTAATAATAAATTTTCTTAAATTTGTTATCACTTTGGAAATAATATCCATAGTTCTTGTGAAAATTTTGCTGTAATTTTCTTCTTAAATATAAAGTATCAGTGGAAAATTTGAATGTCGCAAAGATTAAGTTACGTCCATTTGACAGCAGAACAATAGGTACTGAAATTGTTGCATGGGTTGGGGATTTGCGAGTTAATCATCTTTCCCTTTATGGCCCAATCATCATGGCCTCAATTTTTAGAACTTTCTTTGAGCTCAAAGCTGATTTTAGAGAAAACACTAGCATCATCTTGTTTCTCGCGTTTTGAAAGGGAAGGATGATTAAATTGCAAATTTCCCACCCATGCAACAGTTCCATTGACGTCAAAATAAAGTAAAATTTTTTGAACGGTTCACAGGTTAACAACAATTCACCCATGGCCCTAGTAAATTAACTCAAATCTACAGTGAAATTTTTACTTCATCGACTCAAATATTTTTTTTTTTTTTTTTTTTTTTTTTTTTTTTTTTTTTATTGTCGCAATAAATTACACAGTTATGAAATACACTTACAGTAAAAGTGCGTAATATATAGATATTAAAGAAAACAATAATGATTTGGACTATAATACAAATTAAGGGGAAAGTTTTGCTGAATAAATAAAATAGAATAAGAAATAAGTGGTAATGAAAATTACTGGAGTCAGCAAGGGTTATTGTTAGCGACGCCGGAATCCGCCAGTTGGCATGCATCAGCAAATATCTGTTTATCTATTATTTCTTTTTTGTTTGTGAGGACGGTTTTAATATATGTACAAATTTTGGACCAATTTTCCTTGGAATCTAATAAACATTTTTGAATTAGATTCCAAGGAAAATTGGTCCAAAATTACTGGAATTCGACTCAAATATAGAGTGAAATTAATGAACTATTCACTCAACGGTTTCGACGATTAACTCTAATTTTCAGACAATTAGCTTGAAGGATTGAAAATAAAAGAAAAGAAATTCACTCAGGGCTTTAGAAAGTTTTCCATTTTATGTGAAAATTCACTCGGTTCTTATGAAAAGTAACGCAAAATCTGGATTGATTTTGTTTCAAAATTTAATCAATAATGAGGGAAATGTCACTCCATAAATACGTAAATCATCCAACATCTAGGTTGAATCAAACTGAGCAGGTAGCAAATTAGGGTGATTATTGAGATAAGTTTTTCCCCTGCAGAGTGAATTCACTTTAATTTTGAGGTGTCTGGGCATTGAATTTTCACCCTGACGAAGATTTAATTTTGTCCTAATTCAGATAACTTACTCACTTGCAAGGTAAAATAACTATTCGAAAATTTCACTCCACAAATAGATTCACTTCACATTTGGGAAATGATTGATATTGAAACCAACTTTGAGTGAATTATTTCTAACAGTGTACGATCTGGCTGGAAAATTTATGGCCATGTCTTTCTTGCACGGCGGACCAGGGCCAAATTTTTTCTCTGAACACCTGTATGATAGTGTTTTGGTGGAAGCGGTGATCAATCCCTCCATCGCCTTTATTGGTCCTGCACACAGGCCAATCAGGGCGCAAGAAACCTTCAGTTACTGAGAGAAGCTGTCGGTAATGAGGATTTGCTGGATGCTGGGATAAAAGATTATCCCACAAACCTAAATAAAAAGGAAACTTTTGTTAGCCGCAAGTCATCCCGTTTTTTCCACCTTTCATCTCTTGGGGGGCTCATAATAATTGACTGTAATTTTTTACAGGCTGCTAGAGCTCCCGCATCGTATGTTGAGACAAACGTCAAAGACCGGTTAGTAGCGCCGATGCCGCACCAGACAGCGACAACGGTCATCAACTCTGTACTAGCCAACATGAAAATATCACCGAATCGCCGACTCGCGCGGCAAATTCGAATTGCGTTGGTATGAACCGGTAATTGCTGGGCAGAAAACGCATTAAGCAGGTAGAAACCACTTGCTTGATTCGTTTTCTATAATTTTTAGAGCTAAATATTTATTCATCTTAAAATATATGCGAGAAAATTAATTTCACTCTTATGACACTGAGATTATAATGATCAAAGTAGCAGGATACACGTGCTTCAGGTTTGAAATGTCTATGCATGCGAGCCAATTAAATCACAGTAAAACTTTCCTGTTTTTTCCTGTTTTCTGCAAGCTTCTATAAATCTTGTAGCTGGTATAAAAGTGTAATTCTTTTGGGAAAATTAATTTAGTTGGTGATTGATTGCATTATTTTTTCTTTTCTGTATTGTGCATGTGTTGTTCATTGGGAAATGGTGCTTCCTTTCTTCCGCTGCTGAAAAATGTCTAAGTTAGGACACGGCAAAGCTCTAAGGTCCCAGACCAAAGAGGTAATCCTAAATGTGTATGATTACATGCAAGCAGAGAAGTAAGCCGGTGCTTCAAACAATGTTAGTGCGGTACAAAAACGCGTTTGTGAGGCAACAAAAATTTCGAAGGCTTCATTAAATCGTACTTTGAAAGAGCGGGAGTCAGTGCAATATGGGGCAGTGGAGGAACTTGTAACACCGGGGAAGAAGCGCCCAAAAACCGTCTTCAAATCAAATATCGATGATTTTGACAGAGCTGCGATTAGAAGGATAATCTATAACTTTCACAAGACGGATAAGCGACTGCCCACCATCGCTCTGATTAAACCACTGATCGAGGAGAGACTCGGACTGCAATGTTGCCCAAACACTTTACTGAAAATCGTAAAGGAGCTGGGCTTCAAGTGGGTTAAGAGTGTCGACAACCGTAAGGTTTTAATAGAGAAGCATGAAGTTAGATTGCTGCGAGTAGAGTACCTTCGAAAGATAGCAGTTTACAGGAGAGAAGGTCGCCCAATTATTTACAACGATGAGACGTACGTAAACAGCTCACACACTAAACCAAGCGCGTGGAGTGATGGAAGCTTGGAGGGAGCAAAGAAGCCAATTGGCAGAGGAAAGCGCTTAATTGTCGTCCATGCAGGAGGTGAAATGGAGGCAACTAGATCCGGCGCCAACAAGTAATAGTAGAAAGGGGGAAATGCAAGCGTGGCTAACAGCAAAAGGCATACCGTGGGAAGAAACTATGGTCAAACCTGACCTGTACAAGTTAGTGAAATTGTACAAGCCATTTCACAAAACTTTTGCACTGGACAGAATAGCACAGGAACACGGTCATGTGATATTACGCTTACCCCCATATCACCCAGATTTGAACCCTATAGAAAAAATTTGGGCTCTTCTGAAGGATGATGTTGCAGCAAAGAATGTACAATTCACAATGAAAGAAGTCCATAGACTAGCCACAGAAAAGCTTGCGACCATCACTGTGGAGGATTGGAAGAAGCGCTGCGAACGGGCAAAAAGATTCGAGCAATTCTACAGGGAGCAAGATGTCATTGTCGATGAATTGCAGGACCACTTCATCATCAACCTAGGCGAAGACTGAAGTGAAGAAGATTCTGACCCAGATGAGCCAGCGGAGGTAGGAGAAACAGTCGACTACGACGACAATGATGACAATGGGGATAGTGACGCAGATGAGCCGGATGAAGTTATGGAAGGGGTTCATTTTCTTCCGAATGATAGTGATGCAGCCTGAAAATGATTTAAAAGTGCATACATTTGTAAATATATCATGGTGCTTTCTACGTGTTAAAGTGTCTTATCAAATTCACATTTTCCTTCCAATTATTTTGCTAAATTCTCTTAAATTTTTTTTAATTTAAATTTTATTTGCCCGCGTCAAACAGTTGTAATTCCTACATTAACCAGTCTGTAAGATTACGTTAGTACTTACTAGAAATAGAAACTAAATTCCGAATCATACAACTTATCCATACGCTCCAGCATCGTATCACATTGCCATTCACTCCACACTTCATCCACATTTAATCATCACTATACATGTCACACCAAAGGAGTTTTGCAGTAAAGACAACACTGATTACTTATTTTCCGAAAATTCACAAGGAATTTGCCAGGTAAATAATTTAATCGTGCTTTATAGACGCTATTAGTGGCGACGTCATCATAGGGATTCTCCATTATATCGAATTGGATCCAAACAATATCATTGGCATAACCTCTTTCAATGCTACCAATGCGGAAAAATCGATAGATATCGCTTTTCTGTGACGTTGCACTAATCGCGTCTATAAGCTAGCAGTTTCATTCAGACTGCAGGAATGAAGGTAATCTGTTTGTTTATGACCAACGTTTTCAGGAAAGAACGTAGGAAGGTAAACAACGGCCTATGTTGGTCGGTGACGGTGACCGCGGTGCTAGGTCGGATCATTTTGACGTTTGTCTCAACATACGATGCGGGAGCTCTAAAGAAAGTTGCTTAAGTGCTTGCAAATTGAGTATTGTATTGCTGAAACGACCATAACCCACTTTGGGTTTTGTAGAGTTTAACAGTAATGCCCTCATATGGAGCAAGTCTGTTAGTATGTGGAGGGAAAATAATAAAATCAGGATTAAAGACTAACATCCCATGCCAAAACGACCGTACTCACACTTGTTGTGGTTACCTACAGTTGGTTAGGGTATGAATTGCTCAGGCAAGGACACAAACGGTTAGGTCTTGTCTCCTCAAGGCCGTTTCGGGCCTTTTTTTAATGCGGCGAGAGCATGCACAAGGCTGTGAGTAATTTTAAATAAATAAAAATTAATGAGGAATCAGTTTGAGGTTTCTTTTTTTGTTTCACATCAAGTGAGGGTTCCTGCGATTAGTTTTGAGTAAGTTTTCATTGATCGTCTTTTCGTCCGGTTACAGCAAAAAGCATCAACCAAAAAGAGTGAGCCAGATTTGGGCGCTGACTCTCAATCTGAAAGTAAATCAAGTTCAATCTGTAGCGATAAGCCTTCCGAGGAAACCCATGAGAACAAAACATCAACAAAAAAGAGTGAACCAGATTTAAGCGCAGTTATTTTGGTTGAAATGTTATGTGTTTTATCAAGATGGTTCAATGAGTAAGATAGGTGATGAAAATTGTGAGCAGGTAGGCTATCTCCTTTTTTTTTTGAGATTTATACTCTGGCCATTTTGATCCACTTAAACTTAATTTATCGGATAAAAATTGTTTATGGAATGACTTCAAATCTCACTTTCCTTCATTGTCGTATCAAAGTTAATCTTTAAATTTATCTACTACTATAAAGAAGAAAAGAGAATATAGAGTTGGACATGAAATTCGTGTGAATCAATTGAACTTAACTAAAAAAAATATACCTAAAAAAATCCTGAGATTACTCAAAAATCTTTTAAAAAATATACCAAAAGAAAATCCCCAAATCAATCAAAAGGCTGTTAAGAATTATAATCAAAAACACCCTGAAATTCATTTCTTCTGCTTTGAAATATCAAAAGAAAAATGCAGAGAAAGAGTAAATTTCGTGTCCGTGTGCACGAGGTATCTTACTCAATTCTTCGAACATGTCGTCCGAAGATGAGATTGCTACCCCTACTACCGGTAAAGGTCGGAAAGACCAATTGAAGGCTCGAAAAGGCAAAGGAGCCAGGAACAAACGCAATGCTAAAGAGATTGCGAAACGGCTCAAAAGGAAGTTGGCTGAGTTACAATGTGTGACATGGTCAAACTTTTCAGCCTTACATCATGCAGAAAGACACATGGGTAGAAAACCTGTCTAATGTGGTTTTACCATCCTAAGTGCTGCGTGTCATGTGTCTGGGGCATATGATCTCTGTGCCTTTTCTTTAAATTCAGCTGAAACGAATCCTCAAACTTTCGTCCTATTCCTTTTGAAAAATGTATCTCGTACGTTGAAGACACCATTCGCGATGAACCTTTTATGGTTGCGGCAAAGATCAGAGAATGTGTCTGGGACGCTATCAATTCGACCATAGGCGATTATTTGAAAGTTGGGTTCTAGAAGGAACCGAAGGGTTTTCGTTTTCTGCAGAGGAGGCGGAATTTCGAAGATGTCCATTTTTTTTAAATTTTTCGAAAATTTCCCAGACTTATCTTATTTCTCCGGGGAAACTTCGCTGAGCAAGAGTGCATATTATAGAGGTTTGCCGCTGCCACTGCCAGCGACTCAATCACCGAGCTGTACCTTTCTAGCGCTAGCAGTAGCGACTATCGGCTTTTCCATCGCTAGCAGGAGCGACAATAGGTCGCTTTATCACCGGCGATACAAAGTTTACAGTCCGGATATAAAAGCGATACGAATGGATCACTAGACAAGGTACGAATTTAAGCATTCCGATACATGTTTCTTAACCAAAATTTCACGTAGAACACGATTCGCGCAACGAAAATTACTGAAACCAACTCCTAACGAAGATATTAACCTTTTCATTTCACATTGGTTACGAGGAATTTGAACTGCCCGCTCACAAGAAACTCAAAGCTCTACGTGAGTCAAATCGCGCACGACAACGGTCTCAGCAAGTTTCTTAATCGAGCAATATTCATTTCCCACCATGTGTTGTTCGAACTATAGGCAATTTGCTATAGCAGAGCCAAAGCGTCAAGATTGAGGTTGCCAGATTTTTACATTGCGCAGAGACTGTAATGATATCGTTTAGCGCGCGATGTGAATCACGTAGAGCATTGAGTTTTCATGAGCGGGTGGTTTGAATTCACGCATCAAGAATCATTAAATATCGTTGTGAGGAGTTGATTTCGATAATTTGCATTGTGCGCATCGTGCTCTACGTGAAATTTTAGTTACGGAACATGTATCAGAGTTCTGAAATTCGTACCTTGTCTAGTGGTCCATTCCTATAGCCAGCTCTAGGGGCGATGCAAAATCCTACAGCTGGCTATTAGATTTTCCTGTCGCACGGAGAAAAAAACCTCGTGCGTGGGACCCGAAGTTTAGGTCATATGGATCTCTGAAGTTTTCAGATTGAGCATCTGAACACTTTAGATCTAGCTGTCGAGGTTCGGATCACACATCTGAAACTTCAGTTCTTACTTCAGATGTGAGAACCGAAGTTTTTCGGATGTGAAAACCGAAGTACTTCAGATGTAAGAACCGAAGTTTTTCGGATGTGAAAACCGAAGTACTTCAGATGTAAGAACTGAAGTTTCAGATGTGGGATCCGAACCTCGACAGCTAGATCTAATGTGTTCAGATGCTCAATCCGAAAACTTCAGAGATCCATATGACCTAAACTTCGGGTCCCACGCACGAAGTTTTTTTCTCCGTGCACCTCTATCGCTTATTTCTACCAGGGTACGTCAGAGAGGGTTTCAAGATTGACAGTGACTGGGACTGCCTTTTACTCTCTTCTGAAGTAAAAGAATCCTTCGATAAAAATTAGACATTTTAAATGAAATCATATTTTGGCGAAAATGGTAAACTTCGCTGATTCTTTGCAGAAGAGGTAACGGGAGAATTAGTATATCACGAATGTCCAGGTGATCTGTATATCAGGCCAAAATTCGATTTACTTCCTGAAGTACCAATTAGGTCAGGTAAAAAACACTAGACAACGAAAAATCAAGGTTAAACTCTAATGAAGATGTTTTTGTTGTGCTAGTGAAGAATACGAAATTCACATGCTTCGCTGCTGATTATAAAGTCAAAGTACATGACTCTGACAACTTGTGATTATCAATCGAGGAATATACTGATAAACGTTGCGTTCTTCAATCAAACGAAACATCCAATGTGGTAAGAACCAGGGGTGCTGCAGGCAGTTTTGCAGGATTTCCTCTGTGGCTCGTGGCCTTTGCTGACAGTAAATATAAATGCTTTTTAAACTATTTTGGATAATTTAATGGCTGATAGTGTCCTGTAACGAATCGATGTTGAGACAATACCAGACTACGTTTCTCGATTGCGGTGTATAAAAATATCCGCTCATATTTAATTTTTTTGAAGGAGAAAACATCAATATCATTCCCTGAAGTTTTCGCAGAATTTTCTTTGCACGGCAACGAAAAATCACGAATTTCAAGAATTGATGTTGAGTAATTGCGTTGAGATGATGAATGTACTGCTTCACACGGACATGATATGACGGATGCTTCAGCAGGAAAGCTAATTCTAGAAAATGGGTACTGAGAATTTACTTTGACCAGAAACCAAGCCGTAAGTTGGAAATGATGGCTCTCAAAGTGAATGCCCGACAGAGGTCACTTCTCAACTTCAGGAAGTTAAAATAATACAGGATTCTCCAAATTAAAATCAAAAATATTTCACCTCAATACCGCGGAAACTACTCGAGTCTTTCATCGATGTGAGCAAAGTGCTCATAAGTGTCGAAGATTTGCGAGAGGCGAAAACCCATGATTTTCCTTCAATTTCGCGTGATACCAAATACCTACTCCGCAGTTCGAATAGTTGCTCGCTTCATTTCCGCATGTTGAAAGTGAGAAATTACGCTGATTACATCTCAATATCGCAATAAAGTTTCCGGCGGATTCTTAAAATCCTTAACAAATACGTTATTTTCATCTCCCAGAATCGCAG